AATTGCAGCACTGAATCAACAAGAAGCCTGCAGTACCATTCACTGCCACCAGATGGCAGGTCCCTATCAGAAGTCCTCTTCTATGGAATTGCCTCATTATCGTCACTGGCCCTCCAGCCTTCCCAGAGAGTGCTATATCTACCTCACTGTGACTTTATAACTTATTGTTATAAACTGTTTTATATTTTTCTCCCTCAGAACAGACTGAGAGCTCCTCCAGGATAAAAACATCAACTCAGGATAATTCATCTTAGACCCGTAAGTGCTGAGTACTGGCCTGAACTCAGTAAATATTTTTAGAATGAACAAATGGACGTGTAGATGAATATTTGTCTGAAAACTAATAAAATCCCACAATTATCTCGATACTTTCTTCCCCAGTGATCAATCAAGAAACATTAACTGGGAACTTCTGGGCCCTATCCAGTGTTCAGAGATGGGAATTTAGAATGGAAAGAATAAAAAATGCAATAAAGGGGTTTTAGCCAACTGAAATCTCTCCTTGAAGGAGCGCCTCCAACTCCAACCTTCTTAGGCAAATGGTGAAGATGTAGCTTCTGCCATCGGGGCACATAAGTCTGACGGGAGAAATAAGCGGACAGAGCCCCATGTGGTTGGGACTGACAAGGCCTTGCCCTAGGAAGCTTCCAGATTGATAAAGGAAACACACCTTCAAATATGAAACAGATCTAGCCATTGTTTGCAGACTATCCCCTCTGATGTATCCCAGCCCTCACAAGCCCGTATGTTCAACTGACCGCCAACTGCTCCTATTTTCCACACAGGAGGGCCTCCTGCCTGCCTCCCTATACCAGGAACACTGGGTCTGAAAGAGAAAACTAAAGTACCCCCCTCTTCCTTCCCTGGGCATATTGTTGAGGAACTTTGCAAGTCACTGAGGCTAAATTGGAGGCCAAAGGGGGAGTCCGGGGCTCAAGCAGCTGTGGCATTTGGACTGGGAGTCAGGTATCCCTAGGGGGTGGGAAGAGACAAGCTTCCTGGGAGGAGAGGTGGAGACCAGAGATTGAAAATCCCGGGAGCTCTGCTCAGTGTCACAGCTCCAAAGAATATGCATGGAGGCTTGTTCTCCCCCTCCCCTCCCCCCTTATCTAATTAGCAGAGGAGTGTAAAAAGCCAGAAATCCTATCTCTTCTGGCATTCTCCAGCCACCTCCACCCTCTCTCCACCCTCCCATTCCACCCCCAGGCCCCACCCCCACCCCCACCAATTTACTCTACAGCCTAAGCAGTCCTTGTAGGCACAGAGCCCTGGAAAGGGCCTGGAAAAAAAATGCGGGGAAACCAGGGACTTGGGGAATTTAGTTAGAGTGAACATTTGGAAAGAAGCATCGGCCTGGGATGCACACCATCGCCCTCATAGGGTGACCAGCCATCCCGGTTTGCCAGAAATGAGGGAATAGCCCAGTTTAAGCACCTAGAGTCCCACCCCATAGGAAAGCCCTCAGTCCTTGGCCCAAACTCACTGTGTAACACTGAGTTAAGTCCCCTCTCTCTGAACCTCAGTTACCTCCTCGTAAAATGGGACCATTTAGCTCAGATGCTCTAGGCCATTCTTTTTTTTTTTAAGATTTTATTGGGGAATTGGAGGAGGGTAACAGACAAGTTACTGTCCTTTTGTTCTTCAGTCTAGCTGTGGAGGATGTTGCTTCACTGGCCCATGTTGGTATTATCATTACGCTCTTCCCGGGTGAGGCAGATTGGTCGCCGGCCACTCATGGCGGCTCTTGGCAGCTCATACTAGCTGCCAGCCACTCACGGTAGCTTATAGGAGCCCACTGCAGCTCCACTGCAGCCTACACTGTCACCAGCGAATCATGAGAGCCCAGCTCCAGGTCGAGCTGTTGCTCACCATCTTAGCTGTAGAGGGCGCCGCGTCACTGGCCCTAATGTGGGGTCCGAACCAGGGCCCTGCGGCTCAGCGTTGGCGTCCCAAGCCAACTCTTAACCAACGCACCACTCGTTTGGCCCTCTAGGCCATTCTATGAATAGCCTCTAGATTTCCTGAAGCTGGGCACGGCAAGGGTGAGGCTGGCTTACTCCTCATTAATCACAGCCCTTAATGCTTCCCTAGGCTCCTGGGAATCAACATCCTGGAACATTAACCGTGGAAGGGGACTTCAGGGTTATCTGCTCCTTCCTCCTTTCTAGCTCTATGTTTCTAGAAATACATGCATTTATTCATTGTATTCCACTTACCACTGTCTGTCCTACATTACAGTTAGACACAAACCTTATCTCCTACTTACTAGCTTCTAAGCTCCTTGAGGGCAGGTAGCAAGACCTATAACTCAGCAAGGGTTAAAGACTCATACATGATTGGAACAAATATTTTGTGTTAAATTCCACAGAGAAATCTTTTGCACTTTATCTCCCAGTGGCCCAGAAGGAGGACACAGGGCTCCAATGGTGTGCTGGGAGGTGGCTCCCAGCTCAGAGATCTGATTGCTAAATTTTCAGGAATTTTGCAAACTGCTTATTAAACACAGCCATCATTAAAAATTAAATTATATATTGGGTCGGCCAAGTGGCGCGTTGGTTAAGAGCTAGCTTGGGACGACAGAGGGCCCCAGTTCGGACCCCACATATGAGGGCTAGTGACACTGCCCTCTACAGCTAAGATGCTGAACAACAGCTCAACCTGGAGCTGGGCTGCTGTGAGTCACTGGCGATGGCGTAGGCCGAAGCCCCTGTTGAGTTGCCATGGGCTACCGTGTGTAGCCAGCAGCCAGCGTGAGCGGCCATCCAGAAGCCGGCGACTGATCTGCCTCGCCCGGAAAGAGCGCAATGATGGTGCCAACAGGGGCCAGTGAAGCAACGTCCTCCACAACTAGACTGAAGAACAAAAGGACAGCAACTTGTCTGTTCCCCTTCCCCGATTCCCCAGTGCTGTTCCCATCCCCCAATTCCCCAATAAAAGTCTTTAAAAAATATTTTTAATTATATAAACTTACAACTAAACCAATTATATTAAAAGTAAAGATAGCAAGTACTCAAATTTCATCGCTTCCTAACTAGTTTACTACATTTTACCATTATCTGCACTCTTAAGGTTATTTACATCTATCATATCTATGCGATAGAAATGCTGTATAATGATGTGCTACTGTTCATCTCTTCCCAAGTCTACACTGGGAGTTTGAAATCAGCCATGGTGAGAGTATTTATACCATGAAAATCAGCAAACACTACCAACCATGGCTTCTGTCACACTGAAGCTGGTTGTTAAACATCTACCAGCGCATCAGTGGTTCAGAGACGCTACTCTATCTCCACTGTCATCTTCTGCTTAGCCTTCAATTCCAGATTTCCATGCCAGGAAGAGAAAAACCAAGGTTTGGATCATCACTTAAAAACTAATGAGATAACAGAGCTGGGGGAAAGGAAATGGATGCACAGGTTGACTGTAAATGATTTATAGACTCCAGTGTGGAGTGCCGGGCTCTGGCTCTTCGCTCCTTCCAGGGGACCCTCTGTTCACAATGAGGGACTTTTGTCAGCCCAGCACAGAGGTCTTGTGTAGACAAAGCCCCAGAAGACTCTGAAGAAAGCATTGGTTATCTTCCAGGTATCCATTTTACAGGTCTATCCTGATGGCCAACTGAAGGATTCCAAGATAAGATGACTCTCATGCTGACAGATGATACTTCCCCATTTCCAGCCTACAATCACCTCTGGGATTAATAAATCTGCAAATCTTAAAATTAGGATGATAGCATGCTAGAGAGCTGGGGAAATCTTTAGGGGTCATTCAATGTTCAACATTGCCCCTACAGCCTCATTTTACAGATGAAGAAACTGAGTTCATGTAGTAGTTAATATTACAGCTTGCCCGACATCACACAACTGATTAGCGGCCAACATCCTAATTAGGTCTCCTAATACCTGGAGCAGAGGCCTTTCCTTAACATCTTAAATTCCTTTTAGAGAAATATGACCTTTAGAGAACCTGAGTGGGAGCAAGCACAAAGTGTGCACACAAAAAGCACACTAACTTCTCCTCTGCTTCCTAGAAAACAAGGGAATATTTTCATAGAGTACCAACCGAATGCCAGGTTCTATGGGGGACACAGAAGAATAAGACCCAGTTGCTCAAACACAGGAAGTGAATTTGGAGTCATTCCTAAAACTCTTTCAAGGGAGGGGACGACCTTGGGGTTATGCTAACCCTCTTCTGATGCCACAGTGAGTGGCATGGAAGTCAACCCTGCTGTCCTAGGACATGAAAGCTAAACATTAGATTCTGATTGGGAATCATAGGAAGCAGAGAAAAAGCCACTGAGGCAAACCTAGTGGGCTTGTTCCAAGTGACCCAGGTCTCAGACACCTCTTTCCCCAAGGAGAGAAGCCCACAAGCAAGCAGAGGAAGAGTTTGCTAGGATGAAGCAAAGCTTTAGTCCATTAAAGACATTTTGCATTTGTGACATTTGACCTGTCTCGCTAGAAAAATAAAACAGAAAAAAAAGACATACAGAATAGGAGCCTAAGTTTCTTTATTTTTTTTTGAGATTTTTTAAATTGGGGAATTGGGGGATGGGAACAGCACTGGGGAATTGGGGGAAGGGGAACAGAAAAGTTGCTGTCCTTTTTGTTCTTCAGTCTAGTTGTGGAGGACGTTGCTTCACTGGCCCAAGTTGGCACCATCATTGCGCTCTTCCCAGGCGAGGCAGATCAGTCGCCGGCTTCTGGACGGCCGCTCACTGCGGCTGCTGGCCGCTCACGCTGGCTGCTGGCTACATACGGTAGCTCATGGCAACCCACTGCCACAGGGGCTGCAGCCTACGCCATCGCCGGTGACTCATGGCAGCCCAGCTCCAGGTTGAGCTGTTGTTCAGCATCTTAGCTGTGGAGGGCAGTGTCACTGGCCCTCATATGTGGGATCCGAACCGGGGCCCTCTGGCGTCCCAAGCCAGTTCTTAACCATCGCACCACTCGGCCGGCCCCTGCACCCCCCCCCCAAGTTTCTTAATATTCGTTCAACCTATTTAAAATTACTCCATCAAATTGCTATAAAAATTTCTAAACACTTTCATTTCCATACTTATCTTGCCACAGAAAGATAACAGTTTGCAGACCAACACCAATCCTGACCCGTACTTGGAGTGTATTGCCCTAAAAAGGCCTGGGGACTCCTTTGCCCCAGAACTCCTTTGGCGGGGAGATGTCTGAGCCCTTTTGCTCATCCAAATCAGGTCTGGGATGCTGAGAAGCGATCTGGATATCCATGGTCACAGGGTAATGAGTCAGGACTGTGACTTCCTGTTTGTACTTCGCTCAGAATCTCTCCAGTTTGTCTTCCCCAGCTCTAGGAAAGAGCTTCACCAACCAGGGAAGATCTCCACCTCTTCACTGTAGTCCCCAGTCCTACCTAATAGTGCCTTGGGTCCCTACTAGGGGCCACAAGTTCATTTGTTCGTTTATTCATTCATTCATTCATTCATTTGTTCATTCGTTCATTTATTCATTCATTCAGGCATCTTCTTAAGCACTAAGAATACAAAATGAATCTATAAAAGGCAGATTCCTGCCTAAGGAGCTGATGTCCTTGTGACAAAGTATCACAAAGAAAGCCATCAGTCTTTTCAAATACAGCCCTGGGTGATCCAAAGGTACAAGCAGCTATCAAACTGGAGATCTAACCCTCAAAAAAAAAAAAGATAAACCTACTAGGAATGAAGGAAATTTACCAGAACTTAGTTTGGTAGAATGCGCTAGAAAGGACTGTAGCAGAGATGGCCCCTGAAGTGTTTCTGCTTCATGTCCCATGATTCCATGACTTTACAATCACCAAGAGAGGAGCTAGGAATAGAGCACTTGTTTACTTGGGTAAAGTATATCATTATTAACACCTTAGGGAGAAAGGCAGGACAAGGAATGCAGTCTGGTTGACAGGTGAGGACACTGCAGCTCTAAGGGACAGGTGATCTATCTTCAGGGTTAGGAGCCCACCTGCTCTAGGCTATGAGGTTCTGGAAACAAGCCCTCGGGAGGAAAGAGATGTAAGTCTGACTTAGAGAGGAAAGAAACATCCAGGGGATGGAAAGACTTCAGACCTTCTGTGGGCCTGGGAGGCAAGAAGGGCTGGAGGGGGCATGGGGCGGGGCTTTCCTTGAGGCTTTGGGCTGAGTCCCTCCCCCCTGGTCCTCCATTGGGTCAAAGGCTCCTGCAGCCCCGCCAGTGAGGGACAAATGAGATGAGCTGTTGATTTTTCCCCCTTGGCCATTCAGAATTTCCCCACATAAATACTGAGAGAGACACTGCCCTCTTCTCACTTTTTCTCTGGACTTGTCCCTGGGCTGAATCTGGTCCCCTAGAGGTGAGCAGTGCCATGGGGGACCTGTTTATGCTCAGGGTGACTATGGGCATATGCTATGCCACCTTCAGTGCCTCTGCCTGGTAAGTCCTTTCCCCCCACCCTTTACTCCAGGCCAAGGAAGCCCCATTATCTCATCCTCATTCACCATTGCCTTACTTTTTCTCTTTTTGGTTAGGTCAGTGAACAATTTCCTGATAACAGGGCCCAAGGTAGGATGGTTTCTGCTTCTGTTTTTACCCATACAGCTTCCTACGGGAACTCTTTTGGGGAAGGAAAAGAGGGGAGGAGGAGAGAGTGCCAGAAATCCCCCATCCAGAGGAACCTATGATTGTTCCTTAATGGAGAGCTAACCCATCTGCATCCTGCCTGGTCCCCCGGAAGCTCACAGCCCTTTTCCCTTTGCCAGGCCTATCTGACCTACACCACCAGCGTGGCCCTGGGTGCCCAGAGTGGCATCGAGGAATGTAAGTTCCAGTTTGCCTGGGAACGCTGGAACTGCCCTGAAAACGCTCTCCAGCTCTCCACACACAACAGGCTGAGAAGTGGTAAGTCTGTGCACCTGTACAGGGGGTCTGTGTGCATGGAGGAAGGCTTGCAGTAAGTGCGTGTGTGTAGTATATATGTGCACAGTGAAGTGAAAAAGTTAGTGAGCTGCTGACATGCCACTTCCTGGCTGTGTGACGCTGAGTGAGTTACTTCCCCTTTCTCAACCTCAGTTTGTCATTTGGATCAATAAGGCCAGCTCGATTTAGCTCACCAGGAGTATTATAAGGGTTGAATGAGGTGAATACAAAGGTATTTCTACACAAATGGAATAATTATTTTTAATGCATGCCTGTAATTGTGTGTTTGTACACACTTAAGCACTGACTTGCATTAAATAAAAATGGGGAAAGCCGCTGTGTTTCCCATCTGCACAGCTCTCATAAAACCCCAACAACAGAAAGCTAAGAGATTCCAGTGAGCTGTACCTCAGTTGGTGTGTCTGTGTGTGTGTGTGTGTGTGTGTGTGTGTGTACTTGTGCAACTGTTTGTAACTATGTGTATAAAATGGATAAAAGTAATTTATGTTAGGAACAATAAAGAGTTGCCTGAGAAGAGTTGGGGGAAGAAGTAAAGAAGAAGAGGACAAAAAAAAATATCCATGGGGTATAAAGAAAGAGTGGGGAGTTTGTGGAAATTAAATGGAACATGTGTACAGAGTTTAATAAGATACAAGCTCAGTAAAGCTCAGTAAGTGGTAGACATGGTCATTACGATTAGTGCATGGCTCTAGCTTCATGTCAGAAAGAAGAAAAGGTCCTTCTCTCTTTCCTAAGACAGCCTCATGGCCCTGCGTCCTCACTGCCTGAGGACCAAAAGCAGTGGCTAATGGACAAAGACCTAGGCTGGGCTTCAGGGGGAAACAGTCCTGGTCCCAACACCACCATTGGTGAGGAGCATGGCCTTGGTCTCGTCACTCTGTCTCTGAGCTTTACTTTCCCCATCTGCAGCATGGGGGTGCCTGAATGAAGTACGAATGAAGTGAAGGAGATATGCACTGCTCTCTACGTAGAACAGCATTCTCTTAAACCCAAAGGCGGCGGGGGTCAGGGGAGAGAAACGCATTGCTTTTCCATAGCCTCTGCTTTGGGTCATCAGGGTCCAAGTTCCCAGTCCCCCTTTTCTCTCCAAAGCCACCAGGGAGACTTCCTTCATTCATGCCATCAGCTCTGCTGGGGTCATGCACACCATCACCAAGAACTGTAGCATGGGCGACTTTGAAAACTGTGGCTGTGATGAGTCAAAAAATGGAAAAACAGGTAAGCTGGGCTCTCTGATGGAAGGAAGCAGTGAGGGGTGCAGGGCTGAGTGCAGGCCAAAATCCCCCAGGGAAATGCTGAGGGACACAGCTCCAGCTCCCTCAAACCCCTGGACTCCAACAGCAACTTCATGGGTGGGAGCTCTTGGACCTAGACTCTCCCGAGAGTTGAGCCTGGGTCCATGATTCCAGGATCAGCAAGTAGCACTGAGCCCTAAAACCAACGAGGCATCTGAGAATGAGGAAGCCAAAGACAATTTAGAGCAAACCCTCATTTTCAGGCTTAGAATGGCTTGTCCATAATCCAGAGCTACTCAATGATTTGTCACCTAAGAGACTTATTCAGATTTGTCACTAATGAGGGAAGAGGTGACTCTAACAAGACTTGTAGGATAATGGTGCAGAATTCCAGAATGTCTGAGCTGTGAGAAACCTTTGAGATCCTCTGGGCCACTCCCAGTCTGCCTACTTTTACTATGGCAATAGGGGCTAACTGCCTAGCGCTGGGAAGTGCCTGAAGGGTGGACAGTTGGCCTTGGGAACAGGACTGCCCCCACCTACACCAAGTACCTCCATTTCCCTGTCTTACCTTCAGCTACAGCTCTTGGGGATGGCTTGGCTGTGTCAGTCAAAATGACTGACTTCTTTTCCCGGGACTTAGCAGGGAACTGTATGCAGAACTTATTCTTTCCTTGTATGTAGGAGGCCATGGCTGGATCTGGGGAGGCTGCAGCGACAATGTAGAATTTGGGGAAAAGATCTCCAAACTCTTTGTGGACAGCCTGGAGAAGGGAAAGGATGCCAGAGCCCTGATGAATCTTCACAACAACAGGGCAGGCAGGCTGGTGGGTATAGGAGTCAGCCAGTGAGCCATCGGGCTCAGTACTGGCAATGGCCTCCCATCTGTTCAGCCCTTCACAACTTCCCAAGAGATATCTCATATCCATGTTTCATCCTCACACCACCCAGCAGGACTGGGATGGTGACCCCCATTCTCTGGGTGACAAAGCCAGTGAAGGCTGAGCCAAGTGGCTTAGCCAAAGCAACATAACTAATAAGCACCAGAGCCAGGCAATGGACTCAGATTTTCTGGGCTAGTCCTCTTCCCACCAAACCTTGTGCTCTGGCCCCTCCACGGGCAGGTTTCTGAGAACACAGAATAATACAAAATCAGGGCCTTGCTTCCACAACTTAAATTTGTAACCCTCTCAACTTTGTGTTCTAGGAAATTGACAGGGGTTATTATGTAGCCCCTGTCCTAAAGTTTGTCTGGGCTTCAAGGGACTGGGGCTGATCTAAGTTTCCCTAGAGGGTCTAGTCTCCCCTAAGACTTCTGGTAGGGTGGCAATCCCTGAGGTGTTCTGAACTCAGATCTGGAAGCAAATTGCATTTAGAGCTAAGAGCATAGGAATTTCCACTTTGAACCTATACCTAGATGTCCTGGTTCCCCAGGACAAGCGGAAGAGGTTTTCAAGGCCATTACAACCATGGGTTGTAGGGGTTCAGACTCCAGAAGCTTCCTTCCCTCTGGGAGAGGGCCCAGAGCACAAATTTAGACCCCCACAAATACTCAAGCCTCAAGCTGCAAGACATTAAGAGTATTTATGATCATCTTTTCCTTTATAATTTATAAAGTACTTTCTTGATTATTCTTGATCCAGATGGGCAGATAAAGAAACAAGCTCAACAAGTGACGAATTTTGGGCCTGGTGACTATGTTTCCTGATTCTAATAACCGTGTCAACACTTGCCTGGCTTTCCTTAAGAATCACTCAGGGGCATTTTAAAATCACCGATACCAAGGCCATTAAACCCTTGAACATTCTAATTGAGAAGCTCTGGAGTAGGGCCCAGGAATAAATATGTTGCATGGGCTTCCCCATGTAATTCTGATGCTCCTCCAAAGTGAAGAAGCACAACTCTAAAATATGCCATTTAATTGCTAAATTTTGGTGTTCCCTGCCCAGACCATCCTCTCATTTGTTCTCTCTCTGTGAAGGCAGTGAGAGCCACCATGAAAAGGACCTGCAAATGCCATGGCATCTCAGGGAGCTGCAGCATCCAGACATGCTGGCTGCAGCTGGCTGACTTCCGGGAGATGGGAGACTACCTAAAGGCCAAGTATGACCAGGCACTGAAAATCGAGTTGGATAAGCGGCGACTAAGGGCTGGGAACAGTGCCGAGGGCCGCTGGGCACCCACGGAGGCCTTCCTTCCTAGTGTAGAGGCTGAGCTGATCTTTTTAGAGGACTCACCAGATTACTGTACCCGCAATTCCAGCCTGGGCATCTATGGCACCGAGGGTCGGGAGTGTCTGCAGAACAACCACAACATATCCAGGTGGGAACGACACAGCTGCTGGCGCCTGTGCACGGAGTGTGGTCTGCAGGTGGAAGAGAGGAGAACTGAGGCCACCAGCAGCTGTAACTGCAAATTCCAGTGGTGCTGTACAGTCAAGTGCGACCAGTGTAGGCATGTGGTGAACAAGTACTATTGCACGCGCTCCCCCGGCAGTACTTGGTCCAGGGGCAAAGGCAGCACCTGATAACGCCCCACAAACTCACTTGCATGACAATGGAGGGGGACACAGCTTCTCTTCTGGAGACATTAGATTTGAAAACAATTGGGACATCACAGGGTTGGTCTGTAATTCTCTCGATATCTGGTATACATGGGGAAATTGAGGCCCAAGATTATACAGCATATTCTTGACAGAGCTGAAAGTGGAACCTGGGCTTCCTAACTTGGGCAGACCCCATTTCATCTTCCTGCAAGTTATTTCCTGGTCTTTGTGCCTGTACTTTTGCAATTTGTTTGGTTTGGGGTCCATATCCATAGGGACCCTCAAAGTACTCGACCCTGTAAGTTTCAGACTACGTCCAACCCAGCTATGCTGCTGAGCATCAGAGGGAATGGAAGCAAAAATGAAAGAGTTCTGTCCAGACTCCTGAAGGAGCAACCTTCCCCTACTCTGGCTCCAGAAAGACCAGCTTAGGAGTTCATGCAGATAAGTGAACTCTGCATGAGTTCACTGCCTAGTGGGAGGATTCTAGGGCGTTGGGTTTTTCACCTGAGTATGCACTTTCAAAGTTCTTCCCACCCAACCCTGGGGAAACCACAACCCAACATAACCTGAGGACTTTTCCAGCTCAGAAACCATCTCTGGAGCCACAGAAAAGGTATAATGGTCGCAGTAAGTGGACAGGTGACTACAACATATCCAGACAATCCCCCGAGAGAGTTTCTCCCAAAGAGCTGTAAAACGACTCTATTTTGTTCTTTTCCCAGATTGGGAACTCAACTTTACTTTGCAATAAATGCTTCTAGAATATATAATGCAGCTGAGAGCTTTTATTTCTCTCTTTGGAAAGCTTAGGATCAGAAAAGGAATAGGAAACCCTGCTTCTGTATCCCTTAATGCAGAAGGCTAAGGGAGAACCTGGAACTATCCAACCCCCTTGGTATCAGCATTTACAGATAATAAAACTGAGACCGAGGAACTGGCCAACAGGTAAACAGTCCAGACTCCCAGATTTAGAAGGTGTTATTTTAATGCAACCTAAGCAACTTGAGCAACAAGGAAGCCCTTTGAACTTGAACCATATTCAAAGTGTGTTTACTCTCTTAACTTGGGCTTCCTGGGGTGTCTGTACACCAAAGACCTGGGCCCCAGGGCAAGAGACCAGGAAAGTTGTGGATTCTACCGTCCTCATTTGCACTTCTACACCTTCCACTGGCAATCTTTGGGGGAGAAGTAGTTTTCCATAAAGAGAGCCCTGGGGGCACAGCCACTGGTCTCCTAAATCTGAGCATCTCAGCCTTGGGGGTCTCTCCTCTGCGAGCACCCTGCGGGGAGGAGGTATTAAACAAGTAAAATGACTGATCGCAGAGAGTAGGGAAACACTCTCAGCTTAATGTTTTAAATGAGAAAACAATTTAAATATTCAACAGTAGGGCAAACTACTTAAATTATGGCCCCCATAATGGAATAGTAACTATTAAAATAATATTCTGGAGAAATATTTAGTAACATGAAACATGTATGCTATAATTGAATAAAGTTTATTACAAAACACCATGTTCGGGATAAACCAAATTTTGTTTTAAAAGATATGAAAATATTTGTTATTATGTAATATCAAAATAGAGTGGTTTATGTTCCTTTTTGTGTTTTTCTGTATTTTACATTTGGCTACAATAAACAAATATTTTTGTCACCAAAAAGAATAATCTATTTTTTTTAATGTCTACATTAAAAGGCCTTTTTTTTCTCTTTTTCTTTTTTTTTGAATGAAAGGAAGGTGAAATGTTCATTAAGGAAGTTGGCATCTCAAGAGAAACCATAAGCAGGTACCTTGAGAGTCCACTCCGGTCTCTATTGCTTCTGGTGCATTTAAAACTACCACAGATGCCAGAAACCAGAGACAAGAAGAAATCCATAAAAATTTAGCCTATGCCGGAAAAAAAACGAAGATTTCCTCTACCTCCCTCCTCCTAAGGAAGGTAACACACACACACACACACACACACACACACACACACACACACACACACTCTCTCTCTCTCTCTCTCTACAGTTAATAACAGAGAAAGGAAGTATGTGTGTGGGGGGGTGTATCTGTAAAGGTAGTAGAAGGGGGAGTGGAAGGGATACTATCTAAGTACAAAAATTGTGGTGAAGAAATAGGTAACCGAAAGAAAAGATTATTTCCCTGCGACTCAGAGAAAAAAGAAAACCAACATAAAATCATCTGGCCTGGAGGTGAAACCCTCAATAAACACAGACGCCAAGGTACCCATCATGAAACATGAGTTGTGTCAGGGAAACGAACAACCTAGATTTTCTCCCTTTATTCCTAACTGAATCTCCATCCAAAGAACCCGGTACCTGATGCTTTGACATTTTCCCCAGGACCTTGCTGGCACTCCCAAATAATCTTCAGGGGCATTTTCAGAAACAAAACCATCCCTGCTGCCCTGCCAAATTGTCATTCAAGGACATGCCTTGTGTTTTCTGGGGGTTTATATCTGAGATTTTCATTAATGAAACCCAGAGCAACTGGGAATTTCATGAAAAGTTAGCCGACTTCCCCCAAAAGCTCATAGTCCCACTCCTTCCAAGCCTCTTCCATCTTCGTTCATCTTACCCTCGTGGCAATCACATCAACCAATCTTCCCACATGGACCCTGGGCCAGAAACTAAAGGCATTCGGATTTCTCTACATCCATCACCTTCCTGTCAGCGATTCATTCCAAGGCATTAATTACAGTGTCATTCAGATTCATTGGTTACCGCCCTACACTCCTTCCCTTTTGGCTCATCCTTAACAAGCTGGCTATCGTTAAGGTGACAGAACAGTAAAACCCCCACGTTCAATAGATTCAGGACCCAGGACAGGCAGATTGGCCACAGTCTGATGGTGGATCTTAAAAAGCTGCTGAGAAACGAATCAACTCAATGAGGGAAGCCTGTCCATAAGCCTATTTCCATATTTCAGTAAACCCAAGTACTGTTTCATATCGCCTGCAGATCAGAAGCCTATATTTTCTGTTTAGATTAAAAAGGAAAATATGCTTATGCTTGTCAGGCCCCTACAAAGCTTTTTCTCTTTTGCCTCTTTGCCACCTCCTCCTCCTCTTCCTCCTTCCTTCCATCTGACCTTTGCTGTGGGTAGAATTAGGGACGCCTAAGAAAACCCTGAGGCCTTTCCCTAGAGTCTCCTATAGTCTCCTGCCAATCTCAGTGCTTGCTGGGAGGTGATCATACAGTTAAGGGTGAAAAAGAAGTAACTGAGCACCTACTAAGTGTCAGATACTTAATGTTATCTGAGATAATGTAATATTATCTCCTTCAATCCTCAGAAATACCCAATTAAAGTATTACTATTATCCCCCTCTTATTACATGGGAAACTAGCTCAGAAGCACCCAAACTAAAATTAAATACAGGAAGATGGTTTTGAATTCAGGCCTGCTACCACGTAAAACCATAATGTCTTACACATCACTCACACTCTGGGAGCCCAGGGGTCTCTGGCTGATATTCTTAACTGTCTTGACAGCTTTGTGGAGTGACTACCATTCATATGCAGTGAAAGGTGTCCTCTTCCTCCCTCAAATAAGACAGTCACATTTCTCAGCCCTTCTCCAGAATGAAGAAACCTAACTTTTGACTTGCAAAGGCCATCCTTAGAATGATAAAGCAGATAGCCTGGCCCCTGCTGACTTGGGAGGGCAGAATCCTAGTTCTCCAGGGGGTACTCAAAGAAAAAGGCTAACCTTTATGGTCTATATTAGAGGTCAAAGTTTCAAAGAGAATGTCAAAGGAGAGGTGTTTATTTTAGAGGACAAAGGAAGGAAAAACAGGATCCAGAAAAGACAAATATCTAACCCCAGATCACAAACTACTCATAATCCTTGATCACAAAAGACAGTGACTCAGAGCCCAGATAAAGATGTTTGGGTTGGGGGGAAATGAAATGAAAGCAAGGACCAGAAAATGGCTTCTAGTAGAGATTAAAGACTTCTGGGTGGGCTAGAGCTCCAAATCGCATAATCCTGCACATTTTCAACCACAGGAGGAAAGGTAGGTGTAGTGGAGGAAAGTATCTCACTTAATATTGCCAAGTGAGATAGCTAAAGAGATATCTAGACTCCAGGGCCTGAACGCTCCCCATGGTTGGTGCTCTGCCTACCCTGTCAGGCTGCCTTTTTCATAAGAAAGGGATGAATGATGACCAATGGGAAGCACTAAGGAAATGAGGCCAGGGCTCTAGGAAACCTGACTATACCTGGCCAGTGAGGATTCGAATAGGAACGCTATGGGTAGTGGAAATGGGAATGTGGGGGGGATGTGGGTAGGGAAAAACCTGGTGGTGCACTAGGTGCCCAGATTTATTCCCACGTTGCTCTCAGATTCTCAGGTACCTGTGCAGACCTGTGTTGGGACTCGGTGATCCTGGGAAGGTCCCTTATCTTTTCTTCACCAGGACCTTCTTGCAGTCTATAGGAGATCACTTGATTCAGCCACCTTCTTCTTAACAGGAGAACTCCTAATTCACAGCTGAAGGAAGAGGAGCACATTGTACATTCTGTTTTGAAAGACCGTCAGGGAGAAGGAAGCCAGTCCCTTTCTGCCTGGGATAAAGCGCTTATGAGAACATTTGCTGCATGTGTAACCCACATTGGCACTATATTTTAAGCCTACGAAATCTAGGACCTCTCATTATGGGCTCAGGCCTTCAAAGCGTCTTTTTTCCAAGCTAAATAACCCTAACTACTTCAATTTTCCACCAGTTCCCTCCCATACTCTTTTTCCTAGACTGTCTCCAAATGTACCAACTTTGGGTTTCTGTGAGGAGTTAAATAAGTGGGATGTGAACCCTTCTGAAGCCTCAGCTGCCATCATTTCTTTGGCTTGATCTGAAGAATCTACCTATTCTTGGTTGTCACAGAGCTTTGATTGCCCTATAGGCTCCACTTGCGTTTCTCCCTGGTCCGTGTTCATTTCTAAACCCTTCCATTTCAGCCAAAGAGCTTTGATGCTCAGTTCCATCAGCTGGGACCTCAATCGTCAAGGTCCTCCTGTGCTGGGGGCTTGCAGTGGTGTGGGGGAAAGAACATGAAATTGACAATGAGGACACACTTCCTTGTCTGCCATCACCTGTGGAGAAGTTACGTGCTCTAAGCTCCAGTTTTCTTTCCTTGCTGATGACTCCTAAATCCCCATCTCTGTGCAAGCTCTAAGCACCACAGCTCTAATGCTTCACTGGCCATTTCTACTTGAGTGACAAATGGATTTTCTCTTATGATTTCTCTGTTTCCATGAGCAGTCTAATGAAACTTTGAGTGACCGAGGCTTATTTCTGAGTTATCCCTGATTCCTCTCTCTGCTCAACTTTTCATATTTAGTCATCTTGCTTTGGTTTGGCCTCCAACCCTACCCCCTCCTCTCCATTACCTTTGCCTGCACTCTAGACTGACTCTTGTATCTTGTACCTGCTTTTTGTACTAACTCAATAACTGGTATTTTGTCCCTCAACTCTCCACTTAACACATTGATACCATATTTATCTGACTAATACACCACTTTCAATTTATCACCACCTGATAAAAAATAAAAAACAAAAAAACTTGCAATGTCCTAAAGAATAAAATCCTAATTCTTTGGCCAGACATTTCAAGTCTCCTAAACTTGACACTATTGTACTATAAACATTAAAATGTTTTCTATGAATATATTCTCATCAAAATAGACCACAAAATGTGAATAATCACCTTCATCCCCTTCTTCCCCCAGCCCACTACCCTTCCTAGAGGTTAATTGCTCCTAATGTGCTTCTCCAATTTTAATCCCTTGCTTCCTTCACTCCAGGTTGACCAGGTTATGATGGTTCTTTGCATACATCATCCCCATGAAACTGTTTGTATCCCAGTTGAGGTCATTTTCCTCCTTGAAATATCTTTGCCTTATCTACTGCCTCTCCAACTCCAAACACGTCCTGCCTGAGGTCTATCTGCACCTTGATATTGCCAGTCTTTTGTTTGATATAATCACTGCCTATGACATCTAGGCATTATGTATTTTCCTGTGTCTCAACAATAAGTCTGACAAGGAAGTAGGACCATTCTTCCTTGTCAGAAAGGGATAAGTAGGAAGTTATCCCTTCTGGTACCTCTGCAAACCTCTTACCACACTCTGCATGTGGTAGGTAATTAGTGATCTCTCTGACATTAAACAATCTTGCCCAAAGGTGGTCTAAGTGTACAGGTCATGGAATCCCAGAGAAGTAGGAGACCTTAGAAGTCACCTCCTACAATCTTCTTATCTTACAGAAGAAGGAAACAATTTGCCCAAAGTCATTTGGACAATTAAAGGTTAAGCTGAGAATAGATCACAGGTGTCCTGCCTTCAAGCAACCCCTAGGTCCTCTGCTCTGGGAGGCTCCATACTACTCTTAAGACCAAACAGCTGTGGAGGGCTTGGATATGCTATGTTTAAAATAAGAAGGAGGAGGAGGAGGAGGAGGAGGAGGAAGAAAGAGAATAACATATGAGGTTCCCCATCACACCATTACCATTTAAGCCCAAGGGAAAGGAAACGGTCAGCCCATGCCCCCCACTATACTATCGTTCACTGCAAAAGTACCCCTTCTCCCTTTCCTTAGTATTCACCTTATCTTGGCTTCACCTGAATAAAAATGTAGGGCACAAAGTCAGAATCACCTTGGACTTCTGATATCTCTGGAAACCTAGTGCTCTTATTATTACTTCAGAGTTTATGTCTGTTGTTCCAAGTATAATTGTAATTGTGCCTCCTTCCACTCCCAAAAGTTGATGATAATTATATTGTCCCCCTATTTATAATCTACTTCATCCATCCATTCATTAATAAATATTTATTGAGAACCTACTCTGTTATAGACATAGCACTAATGCAAAAGATGCAAAAGCTCATGACATAGACAAGGTCACTGCCCCCATGGAGGACACGTACAATGAACAAGTAAAAATATAAATTATTGCAGACTGTCATGATGAAATAAGTGGGGTTCTTATAAAAAAAGTGGTCAGAGAAGGCTCTCTGTGAAGTTGACATTTAAGCTGATACACAAAGGATGTACAGGAGCCAGTTGTAAGAGCTGCAGGAAAGGATATTCCAGAGAGAAGCAACAAGGAATAAGGCACAAAGCAGAAAATAGCTTGGAAAAATTCCAGGAAACGATCAAAGTTTGATGTCACTAGAGCATGGTTTGCATGTGGTAGCATGAGATAAACTTAGAAAAGTATGCTGGGGCTAGATCATGCAAGATTCAGTAGGTCACAATAAACAGTCAGAATTTTGTTCCAGAGAAATGAGGAGCAATTAAAAGATTCTAAGCAGAGTGGTGATAGGATTTTATTAACTTTGTAAGAAACCTCATACTGGCTGCTATATGGAAAATGGAGAGAGGCAAGCGTGGAGGCATGGAGACAAGGAGGCAATTGTAGTAGGCCAGGCTAGAGCTGTCTTGGACTAAGGTAGGGACAGCGTGAATGGAGAGAAGAGGGAAAACCAACAGTATGTATACAAGAACCAATAAAATTAGCCAATGGATTAGATGTTGTAGGTGAGAGGGGTCTGGATGACTTCCGGTTTTTTAGCTTTAGTAACTGAGTGGCAGGTGGTGTCATTTATGGACACAGGCAAAATGAGAGAGGGCCCAGACAGGGCTAATGAGAAAAGGGGAATCAAGAGTTTCATTTTAAGCATGTGAAATTGATAATTTTTCTGACATTCAAGTGGAGATATCAAGCAGGCAATCAGCTATTAAGTCTGGGAAAGCTGGATAAACAAATCAGAGAAGAAATTTGAGATGGAGATGCAAATTTAGGAGTTACCAATATATATAGTTTCTGAAGCCATGGGAGTAAATGAGATTTCCCAAAAAGAGTAGGATGAAGGGAGGAGGACACAGGTCCAAGTCCTAAGAAACCCACACCTCTCTCACTGATGTCCACAAATGCCCGATGAGGAAGCTGTGCAGCTGAACTTCTTGATTCTGGGAATAGACAGGTCCAGGCTTCTGGCAGGTAGGGAAATAGATGAGCTGACCTTTGTGTGTGGGGGTTGGGGGGGGCTGGGGTTCCATCACTCTGTTCATTCAATGAACGCCTTCTGTGGGTCAGGGACTACTATGATAGCTGCCTGTCGGGGACATAAAGATGAAGGGACATAGTCTGTCCCAACCAAGAAGCACACCTGTGCCCATAATTATGTGGTGTGATGAACTTTCTAACGGAGGTGTATACAGGGGCAGTGGGAACACAGGGATGAAAGCAGCCAATGTCTGTCTGGCCCAGAACTGAAGGAAAGCTCATCCAAGTAGTGAGAGGAGCTGAACATTAATTACAAGGGTGGACTGAAGCCAGAAAGGCTCACATCCACACCCACTTCTGTTTGTTTCTGTTTCGTTTTAAAACACATTTTGTGCTTCCTGGGATAAATGTAAAATCATGACAGGTTGGTGGGGATAAGAATGGAGGCTTTGGTTCCCTGCCCATTGACAGTAGAGAAGTGCCTTTCCAGTGAGCCTTCATCAGGGGTGGCGGAGGGGGGAGGGGGTTAGAGGGAAACATGGAAGGAGACAGCGGTTTATTGCGGTTCACACAAAAAAGCAATAAAATGCTTTGCCCTGAGCTGCATAAGGGTCATCATCGGTATGATAAGCTATCATTTAACATGAGGAGGAAATTGAAGTTTCATTTCCTTGCTTTTGTGGCACCCCTTGAATTGGGTTGATGACACCATTCAGTCAGTCAGCATGAGGCCTGCCTTACCAATTTCGTTTTGCAAAACAAAGCCAGTCACGGTCAAACTCAGTTGGTCAATTCCATAGATTAACATGAGAGGCCCCAGGAAAGCAAGACAGCTGGGATAGCTCTGGCTGGGAAAGGATGGGGTTAATCCTGGGCCAGCTTGGCAGGGAGCTCCATAAGGTCTTTCAGGCCCCTGGCACCCTCCCACTCCTCACCCCTCCATGAGCTTCCCACACTCACCAGTGTCCTAGGGTGGACTCTAAATGATATCCAGAGTTTGAAGGACAGGGCTGGACTGAGGGTATGGATGCGTTTCCTCATTCTGTCATATAATCCTCAGGCTGATTTCTTCAGACCCAGCAGTATGGTGCAACAGAAAAAAATCTGGCCAGAATCTATGTGAACACAAACTGGAAAGAATAAATTTTCTTTAAAAAATGAAAATAATACAAAATTTCTCCTAAATTCTGGGCTCCAATAGGTGTACTTACACAACCCACAATCTAAAAACAAAACAAACAAAAAAAACAAAACAATGAGGATGAAAATATTGAAGCTCTCCTGAACAGCCAGGCACTTTTGTTGCCCCTGTGACTAAGATAGAAAATAATTATTGATTCTCTTAGAGGATGATCCAAGTCCACTCTGATTCCTCATGTCCAGAAGTTGCTAAAAACAGGCCACTTTAGAGTGGATCACAATCTGGAGCTTTTCAAAGCTCCCATTAGCTAAGAAAATTCCATTTTTCTCTCTTTCTGAATTCTGATGTTTCTGGTAAAAAAAAACCACAACAATTTGCCAATAACACATAAGTACTATATCAAAGAGCCAAGAAAATCTGCACACGCAGTGAAGTTGCCTGAATAATAATGGGGTTCATCTTCCAAAAGGAGGTTAAGGTAATGTGTAATTTTAGTTCCCTAAAGGTTGTTTAACATATTCCCCAAAGGGTTTATTCCCACAGTCTTCTGGGTCTATCGACCCAATTTAATTTTCAGGTAATCAAGGAAGGCAATTTAGCTTTGTGGGGAAAGTGATGCTGATTTTGCCACATATTTTGCTATAACGCCATGCAATTTACTTTCTGGACTTCAAAATCTTTATTAGAAAAATAAGTGGATTGGATTAGATTACATTAAACATTCACTAAATTTTAAAATTCTGAGCCTCTAAGTTTCTCTATCCTGAGAGTTCTGGCCTTCATCTAATATCCCATACCTACTGCTATACAGAATAAATTAGAACTTCTGGTGTCTAAAAACCTATAGCCTGCAAAACAGCAATAGTCAGATGTTCTTCATTGTACATATGGTCTCATGATTAGATTTCACTAATTTGAATTTTGTGCTGAAGGAAGCTTATTTGTATATTATATTTTTAAAGGGTTTACTAATATTGACACCACAAATAAGAGTCCAGGTGGAGGTTTTTAACTGCCTATGGCAACAATGTTTTCAAATACTGCTTCTCAAGGGGCTCCTGGCATAGTAAGTGGCATTCTGGATGTGAGCCAGGAACCTGGACCATCAGCTATTAGCTCAATGTGTGACCTTGGGCAGGTCTCTTAGCTACCCTGAGTCTCATTTGCTTCAAGTATAAATGAAGGGGTTGAATTAGGTGGTTTAAAATTAATTGGCAAAGCTTTTTTTTTCTTTATTTTTTTAGCAGGTGAACAAGAGCCAAGTAGTGGTTAAGTGTAAATAAAGGCATTAATGCCTTATGGAGAATGAAAGGGATTTGGTGGTGCTGGAAGTCATGAAGGAAGAGTACCTGTGATTGTCAGCCACAAACTGCAATAGCATAAACCGAGTAAAGCTCCAAGTTCCACTCCCTTGATTTATACACAATAAATCCATTAAATGAATGAACTTGATTTGTACACAACACTTAGTTGGCTCTATGAAGAAAACATAAAGTTTCCCATGTCTGTGAAAAAGCAACATGAAGTAATGGAAAGGCTTTACAGCCAAGTATAATTAGTTCAAAACCCTGGCTCTCATAAGTCCTAGATATGACCTCTAGATCTAACCACTTTAACCTCAAGATTATTTTGAGAATGAAATAAGATAACATAGGTGAAAGTGCCTTGCACGGTGCTTGGCATATAATAGGTAATCAGCGGTTCTCAGCCTTCCTAATGCCGTGACCCCTTAATACAGTTCCTCATGTTGTGGTGACCCCCAACCATAAAAT